TGATTGCACCATCGATAAATTCCGAAGGAAAAATTGTCCATCTTGTCGCCTCCGGAAATGCTATGAAGCAGGGATGACTCTGGGAGGTATGCTGCTTTTATTATTCTTTCTCTTTCTCCCTCTCCCTCCCTCATTTTCTCGTTCTCTCTTTAAACCAGATTTTCCTCTTTGACACTTCCAAGGCGGCCAGCCATGCACTAGATACGGGCTGACCTCTTCCCATGCAACGTGGCATCGTCAGCTGCTGTCTTTCTTTATCCTTAGCCATGCCACACCCTACTCTGGGGCTTGGCACGGCAGCAGGAGGTGTGAAACAGGGATCAGGACCCATCGGAGGGTGGGCGAGTGCTGACTGGACTCTGAAGGGTTCCCCAAGGGACACGATGCTACTGGCCTTGGTGGCTGGGACGAGAGAACCAAGGAAGAAACACGGGTTCAGGATGACCCAAGCACAGCCTGGCCTGAAACACCGAAGAGTATCCCTTAGTTAACTGGCGCCTGTACCGTGGGGCTGGCCACCTGGAATGAGAAGCTGCTTCTCTTTGAGCCCGTGGCTCGGCTGCCAAGCGGAGCCAATTTCGTACCCCACATCTCCCAGAGATGAGCAGGTCTTTTAATCATGTCCTTTTCTCTGCAAATCTATTGATCATTTCCAAAAGCATTTTTTTGGTAGCACAGTAGCTTAACAGAGGTGAGATATAGCTCTTTCAAGGGTGACCCTCCCCACCCCATCATAAGGCTCTCTGTTCCCTAGTCGGTGTCCACCATGAGCACTGTCACCATTCCAGAAAGGCTTGGCTGGCACTTAGAGTCCCCGCTCCCCCACGTTCCTCATTTCTTCGTGTTTACATCTGGTCAGTGCCAGAGTCCTCTCTGCTGCCTTCCACTTCCAAAAAGATGTACCTTTCACGACAAAAGCAAGCTCATTAGTCCACTTCAAGTTGGAAATGGACCTTGAGAAAAGACAAGCCTGTTTCCGAATGCCTACAACTGTGGCCTCATACCTGATTACCCATTACCAGCCCGAAAACCCCAAGCAGCCAGAATCCTGCCCTCTCCCCTCCCCCTCTCAAGGTTAATTTAGACCATTTGTCCGTCTCTGGGTTTCTGCAAGGTGTCCAACACCTAGTCTGCCTATGTGCACGTTTATAAAAGCCAACTTGTTTTCTCGCAGAACACGTGTGGGTCTTCGCGTGGATACGTATACCCTCCCCTCCTCACAGGCCAGTAATAGTCTTTAAACAGACCAAAGCACTACAAATAAATTGACCCAGGCTCAATTTGAGATGATTTCAACGGAAGCATCTCAAGTAGTGTCTAGTATTCGCAGACATCTCAGGCAGATGCTCTGTGAGTGGTTTTCCAGGCAGCCGCATGAAATGAAACTCAGATATCTGAAAGAAATCAATCTCTTTCATGTTTGTCTGGCATCCTTCAGAGGAGTCCTACAGCCGTGGTCCACCATTGTAGTGGGGGAGAGGAAATAGCCTGGGGTCGGAGAGTGCGGGGCAGCCAAAGGGATGGACGGGAGGGCCACGTGAATGGCGCGGCCCCATGGTGAGGCTTCTGACAGCTCGACTCTCTGTGAATTATGCGTAAGGGAGAGGTGTGGGGGCGCTCACGGGTACACAACCCCTGGGTCTGCCATCTTCTGGTAGGAATCGCATGCCCATTTTGATGCAGGTCAAGTTTAACGGTAATAAAAGTCTTCATAACGTTTGGGTCCAAATCTTAAGATTAGTTTGAAGCGTCAGCCACCATCCTTCATTATAAAGCAGGCTGCGGCATGATTCCAGTGAACGCCTTTGAAAAGAAGGCCATGTACGGCCGATCATTTCACTCCAGAGAGCAGACGGGCACACATCTGCCCATCAGTTTCTCATCGAGGAGGGTGTGGTAAGATTTCAGCTTGATTTCTTGGCTAGTGTGCCCAGCTTTGAACGGGCTTGGTCAACATAATGAAAAGGAGCTGAAAAGTACTGCAGATGGGTTTTGTTTTGGTTCCATTTCTATGATGTTTACCATGTGTCTCCTGCGTACAAGGCACCATGCATGCTCGGCGGTAGAGCTTCAGGCTGGCGAACTTCAAGAAATGTCCACAAGATACAAGGGTCCCTGTTGTCGCGTACGCGCTCTCGCCTTTGGAGTCAGGTGGACTTAGGTTAAAGGCTCAGCTCCGTTACTTACTGCGCCCCCTCCAAGCCTCCATTTCTTCCCGTGTCATTTCACAGATGTCACTCTCACAGAGCTGTACTGGGGAACAGATGACGTGATAATGGGAACATCCTCGGTAAATGACAAAGCGCTAGACAAATGGGAGGGTTTCTTGTGACAGTGCGTGCACTGGTCATTTAGCTGGTGAGGCTGTTCGGCACACTTCCCAGTTGGCTTGTACTCTGAGTTACTCCAACGGTTCCAACAGGCAGGCGTCACCGAAAATCACGCTCCATCACCTCCGGCCAAAAGTACCATCGAGATCCTTTTGGAAGATGGTTCCGGTAATAAAAGGAATCGTATGTCACATTCGAGTGCCATGTCAGTGAGAACCCAAGTGTTCACCTTCGACCCCATGGTTTGAAAAGCCTTTCCGTTTTGCTAAACTTACGTCTACATTCCTTGCCTTCCGACTAAACGCTCATTAAGTTTACTAACTTTCACGTCTGAAACAATGAAAAAGAGAAAGAAAACATAACACAGAGTCACCCTTCTGAGTACTTTAGCAGTACGCTTTGCTTTTCATAAGATTTGAGTTGGACATAGACATTTTGATCACTTCGAAGGAGAATTCGTGTAATTCGGTTTTATTCTTCCTCTCACTCAACTCGCAATCGTATAATATACTCCAAATGGCAGCTGAGAATGTGGCCTTGAGCAAGTCCCTTCTCCCCTCTGAGGCTCAGTTTCCCATCATGGATGGCGGGCTCCACCGAAGACCTTACTGGTACCGCCATTTTGTGCTTTTATGTCTAAAGTCACAGAGAAAAGCCTGTAAGTTTTATCAGCTCTTTTTTTGGATTGTCTATCCGCCGCTTTCAGAACTATAGATAGTCTAGACTTGGGTGTTTTGACCTGCGTAGTAATTTCAGCTACCTCAGGTCACAGCTAAAGAAGATACCTCGTGTGTCTAAAAGGGGACCGTGCAGGGCAGGAGGCTGGTCTTCGTATCTTAGAGAAGCCGGCGCTCTGCAGCTGACGGCCGCTTGCTCGTCAGGCCTCAAGATGTGTAATCTAGCGTGCCCTGTGGTGTCCCCTGTACTGTTGGCTGATGGGGTCTCCTCAACCCAGAGGGACTGAAAACACGGCCTTTTCCTTCCTGCTTCTAGGCCTGTCTGCCTGTCCGTTGCTGCTTTTCTTAGCAGCGCTTGGTCCTTCCGAAAGAATCCTGGAGGTGGTCGGATGCCCAGGGCGGTCCCCTTCAGCACGGCCTCCGGTTCACGCTGGCCGTCCGCAGTGGGGACAGGCCTTTCTTTGCACATGGTTCGCTTCTGGCTGCTGTCGAAAAATCATATATTGCTAATCGCTTCAAAAGTCTAACCCCCTTGCCTACTTTTCATTTTAGAAGATAGTTATAAATATAACTGTCCAGAGAAAGACCTTCTCTGGGGCAAATTAGCTGTGGTTTTTTTTCACGGCCTGTAATTAAGAATAAACGCACAGCCATCTGTCACTTTCCTCTGCACTTCCCAAGGATGCGCTCTCAGTTTTTCAAGATGGAATGAGAAAGAATTGCCCTTTCCTGCCATCTTCTCCCTGGCCACTCCCTCTTCCTCAGGCCCCCTCCTCTCCGTCCCCAAATATTACTTCTTTCTGGTTCTTGCAAGTCCTGAGTCACTCCGTCCTCCCCTGGACCACGGAAGATGGTAGACCATTCAAGAATTTCAGGTGGCAGCCAAACCCCAAAAGAGAAGCGACACGGAGCCGCAGAGTACGTAAAACTCGGAGGCGGGCACCATTTTCTTCAGCGGTTACTCTGATATTTCAGACGCGTCTCTTCTAGGGGACTGAACTCCACGTCTGAGACTACAAACTGTTAGCAGATCTGCCGGTCTTGACAGCCTCCATGATTCTCTAGTCGGGAGGGTGCCTCAGGGAGCCCCGGCCCCGGTCGGATGTTGTCATGGACACCGTGAAAACCCTCGCGGTCCCCAGTGTTGAAGACAGTCTCGACGCCAGCTCTTTCGTTGTTCTCCGTGCTCAAGTCACAAGCCGTGCAGGCTGGAGGGCGGCCCCAGTTCCACAGCGTCCGTTCATCCATCCATCTAGCCGTTCGAACCAGCCGACTACCTGGTCCTTCCATCTTTGTACCTCTTCAGTCCTCTGCCCACTTAACAAATACTTAAGTGGGTGCCAGCTATGTGCCAGATACTGTAGTAGGCATTTGAGGGGAGCATAGATGAATACGTTATGATCTCTGCCCTCAAAAATTTACACAAGGAGAGAGAGACAGTGATAATGAATACTCCTGACCTCCCTCTGCTTATGACTGGGATTTCGGTGCTGCTTCTTTGCTTCTACGGTTTCCGAATCACCCTTGAATCCAGCCCTTAAAATCTGTTCTCCATGGCCTAGGTCATCATCCTCCTGTTGGTGACGTACATATTGGGTGACACGTTATAGGGGAAAAGGTAGATTTCTCTCTAACTGTAGTTCTCCAGTGAACTTATGTACGGCGAGAGCGGTGACTGTCTCTCCTAATTCCTCCAATCCGAATCATCTGAGACAGCACATATATGTTGTAGTCTGTCTCGGAGAGTAATTTTTTCTCATCATCAAAATTGATGACTTCCCATATCGTGTACTTGAATGAGTATCTCACCTGTAAAATTTCCACTTAAAATCCTTGAGTTTTTAAAATGGAATAGCAGATTTTATTGTTGTTTACTTTTGCTCTGAGTGCTCCAAAATCTCTCAGTTGCTCTTGAAAGAGTAAAATGATGTCATAGGCAATATTTTTCGAAGGTAGTAGGCAGAAAGCTAAGAGTACACAGCACACAATAGGTCGTATACACAAAGGCAAGTGTTTTTCAAGGACCACAATTCAGGAGAAAAGTTTCATTTGGACTTTTAACATAACCGCTTGTTCGAA